GCCTCTTGCTTTTTTTGTTTTCTTGCTATGTTAGTTTATATTTAATGGAAGAACTATCCAAGTTCATTCAGAACTTTCCAAAGATGGTGCATCTGATGAAGGCCAGGATTTGTGTGCAGGAATGTTTAACGGGGCTATTGTCCAGTAAGACCATCATTTATGTCACGCATCAACTGGAATTCATAGATGCAGCAGATCTAATTCTGGTAAACTTCAATTTTTTCATAACATCGAGCAAACTATTTGGTTAGCTAATCACAAGCCAGTGTATGCCTTTTGCATCTGGAGTAATAATAGTGTGAATGTGGTTGTAGTAGCACTAATATAGTATTCCATTTTCATGATTAAGTAGAACTCGCTTGAATAACTAATTATGATCCATGAGGATCTTATTTTTAACAAAAATGTGTAGAGTAAAATCTGCAGCAGGACAAAAGAGTTCGAACAATGTCCTACCTGAAAATACTGACTAGATTTTCCTCAAACACTAAGTCCTTTACAAACATTTTTCAGGTATTGAGAGATGGAAAGGTGGTCCAGTCTGGTAAGTATGAAGATCTGCTGAAGGACACTGATGGGGACCTTGTACAGCAAATAGCTGCACATAATCAGTCATTAAGTCAAGTCAGTCCATCAAAAGAACATGGTCTATTGATGAGCACCAGATATAGGATGAAGCAAAAGGATCTTAGAGAAGTAAAATATTTTGAGAATAGTGGAATCTCCGAGCTTGCAGAGAGATCATGTGAAGAAGAAAGGGAATTTGGAAGAGTGAAATGGCATGTTTATCACACCTTTATGACTTCAGCATATAAAGGAGCTTTTGTGCCGGTACTACTATTATGTCAAATTCTCTTCCAGGGTTTCCAGATGGGCAGCAACTACTGGGTTGCTTGGGCAACCCAAAAGGAGGCTCAAGTTAGTAGAGAACAACTAATTGGAATTTTTGTTCTACTGTCTGCCGGCAGCTCAATGTTTATCTTAGGAAGGGCAGTTCTGCTTGCAACCATTGCAATTGAAACAGCTCAGCAGCTATTTCTTGAAATGATAACAAGCATTTTAAGAGCACCCATGTCATTTTTTGACTCAACACCTTCCAGTCGCATTCTTAACAGGGTCAGTTCCTCTCTGATAATTCCTAACTTACTATACTAAGTTTCATCTAAACAAACAGTTAGATTAACTTGCAGAAATTTCAAACTGTAAATTTAACAATTTACCTTTTTCAGTCCTCAACAGACCAAAGCACTGTTGACACAGATATTCCATACAGACTGGCTGGGTTGATATTTGCACTTGTTCAGCTTCTTTGCATCATCATGCTCATGACTCAAGTGGCCTGGCCAGTACTCATTCTCTTCATTATCGTATTTGCAATCTCCATCTGGTATCAGGTAAGCTAAATTAGGCTCTTGCAGAATGTGTAGCAATAACATATACAAGGAACTATCTGTTACCATCTTTTGGAGGACTTAGCAGAAACTGTAGGAAAAAAGTAGTGAAGGGAACATTTTGGATGATGTTTTTTTCACAATTTGGTCAATGGCTGCTAAACCTAGACATCAAAAGTTCATCAATCATGTATTCTGTGACTGTAAAGCATAGAGCAATCACTAAATGTAATAGCTTTTAATAGTCCAATGCCTAATGGAGTGATTATCTTTCTGCAGAATTACTACATCAGTGCTGCTAGAGAATTAGCTAGAATGGTTGGAATTCGAAAAGCTCCTATCCTCCACCATTTTTCTGAATCACTTGCTGGAGCTGCTACCATTCGATGTTTCAATCAGGAAGAGCGCTTTTCTAAAAGGAACCTCACATTGATTGATGATTATTCTCGAATTACCTTTCACAACTATGCAACTATGGAATGGCTATCAGTTCGAATCAACTTTCTATTCAACCTTGTATTCTTTGCAATGTTAACCATCTTGGTCTCCATGCCCAGAAATGATATTGATCCAAGTAAGTCCTGTTTCAACCTTGACATCACTAGATATATTGGGGTATGACCACAGAGGAAATAACTAACTTGATTTCATTTCAGGCCTTGCAGGACTTGCTGCAACATATGGTTTGAACCTAAATGTACTACAAGCTTGGGTTATATGGAACCTCTGCAATGTAGAGAACAAGATGATCTCTGTCGAGAGAATTCTGCAATTCTCAGTCATACCTAGTGAGGCTCCTTTGGTAATTGAGCACTTCAGAGCACAACAAGGCTGGCCCACATCTGGAACCATTGAACTTGATGATCTCAAGGTTCGTTACAGCCCTAATCTTCCTATGGTCCTAAAAGGTATCAATTGCACTTTCCCTGGGGGAAAGAAAATTGGAGTTGTAGGCAGGACAGGAAGTGGAAAGTCGACGCTCATCCAAGCTCTTTTCAGAGTAGTAGAACCATCATCAGGAAGGATTGTGATTGATGGCATAGATATTAGCCAAATTGGTCTCCATGATTTGAGATCTAGGTTGAGCATAATTCCACAAGAACCAACACTTTTTCAGGGAACTGTGAGGACAAACTTGGATCCTCTGCAGCAGCATCCAGACTCCGAAATCTGGGAGGTAAAGAACAAAGTATGGCTCATATTTATTTGGTACTTTATGAAGCTATAAGTCATCTAACTCATATCCTATCAGGCACTCTATAAATGTCGACTTGGAGAGATAGTAAAACAAGATCAGAGACTGCTTGATGCACCAGGTAATCTAATGTCTTGACAAGCAATTGCATACAAGTTTCACACAACTAGCACATAAAATGTGTCACTTTTTCCCTCAAAGGGGAATAAGTTAACAATATGGGGAGTTACAAAGACATTGTAAGAAGAAATCATTACTGGGATACTTCAGACAATGTTATCACAGTGTGTTAGGATTACATCTATGGTAAACTTAAATAAACGCAACTGTTAAACTTTGTGGCATTCTGCTAACACAGTTTTTTTAGTATCTTCTAGCAACCATGCATGTACTACAAACCTACTGCTGCACAGCATACATTCACACTCCATTGAGAAAACTAGCTTATAGTTTAGTTCCCTCTGTTTTTGATGTTTGTCTTTAATATGAGATCAAGGATTATCATGCAGTTGCAGAAGATGGAGAGAATTGGAGTGTTGGGCAGAGGCAGCTGGTTTGCCTGGCAAGAGTACTGCTGAAAAGGAGGAGGATTCTAGTTTTGGATGAGGCCACAGCTTCAGTAGACACCGCAACCGATAATTTTATTCAGAAGACCATAAGAGAAGAAACCAGTAACTGCACTACCATTACAGTGGCACATCGAATACCCACTGTCATTGACAGTGATCTGGTTCTGGTGCTCGATGAAGGTATACAATAGAACTCGAGTAATACTGAAAAAAGGGAATTCACTCCCCTCAAAATAATTTTTAAAGTTGGATTTCTAAGAAGTATAAAACATCTGAGATTCCCATTAGATATATTTGTTGTATAGCTCTATCTACATACGATTTTTTAATTCTAATGCATGAAACAAAAGAACTTATCATCTCTTTTCTTTTTTGCTGTGGTTGGTGCAGGGAAAATTTTGGAGTTTAGTTCTCCTCAAGATCTTCTAAAAGATGAATCATCAGCATTCTCAAGATTGGTGATGGATTTCCTGGGGAGGTCCAAGAACCATCATGCAGAACTTGAATTAGAGTAACCACAAAGGTGGATCATGGATTAGTACATGAACATGAAATTTTTCTCTATTCATTCGGGAAATGCAATCATCTAATCCACATGAGGATTTGTGTGGCCAGAGAAGAGTCAGCAACAGCGATACTGCCACAAGATACATGAACCAACATGTATAGAAAGAGAGGAGAAAAGGAAGAAAGAAAGAAACAATGAAAGGGCTATGAAGTGTACAGGATTATACTCCGAGAAATCATAAATCTAGAATTAATGCTATCAAGTATGTTTCTGCTACTGATTGTACCTCGATCCTAACAAAAAGGCAGTTCAGTGCATGAAGTTTCTGCTAATTTTGAGGTCTGAGGGAGGTCAATCAACCTGGTCTCACCCCTGCAAGAAAGGTAATTATATCCATGACAAAAATTTTGCTTACCCAGGTCGCAGAAAAGCAATTTTACCATGGCACCGAGGGTCATTTTCACACTTATACTACAATGAAAAAGATCACATTTATTCTTTCAATTGCTGAGATGATCATCAGAGTTTCTTTTCATAAAAGAGTCAATTTAATAGCTGAAATCATGTTTAAGCATTTGGATAATCAAGTCCTGGAAAGAATATTGAAGTGGTAATGAACAAATCCATGATATAGAACAAATTTTGTAATTGCAAGTTCATGTCAAATTGATTAATGGGAGGTTTTCTTAAGTTCATATGGTTAGTTGCTTCTTTGTTTGTTGTTTCTTAGATATGTCCTACAATTGAGAAGGCATGGAGGATTTGAACCTTTTGATCTAATTCTAGTCATTATGGTTAGTTGTAGTTATCCCGATGCCATTATTTTAAAATTAAATGTTTCTCATTCATCAATCTTTTCTATGATGGAATTACTTCCAGAAATGAGTTGTCAAGTACAGATAAGCAAAAAAGAGAAATTTGGTCTTGATGCTAATATTTTGTAAACATGTATGATGTGATGTTTGCATGTGAGTTAGTTGTTAAGTGATATTGACACAGGAATAATGAAATCCATGGAGTATTATAACTATTTTGGTCAATGTAAGTTAACCACACAAATGATTAAATAGATGCAACTTCAATAACTATCCAAGCTATGCATGATGGGTTTACCTAATGAAAACTTTGTAAAGCAATGAATGGTGGCCACTTTGTCACACAGGCCAACTAGGAGAATCATGAATATATTATTCCTTTCGGCAACGATTAAATAAATGAATAATTGATTAGTAAAAACCCACCAGGCATATATCTTAAATGAGAATAAACTAAATCTACCAACCCAAACATTTTACGTTATCCACAGAGAACTTGAGATACTGAGTGAAAGCTAAAGATACTACAAGAATAGAACTTCATTAAATAGATGTAGGGACAAAAGATAACTCCATTTGTCGGTATATTTACCATAACAACATAAACAATTCTTGGAAACAACATAGAGTGATACAGAGTTGTACAAAAAATGGAGATCAATCCAGCATAACCCTTCATTTTGGATCTGAAAAGAACTTGTTCACAGCAGGCATGATTTCAGGGGCTTTGTTCCTGACAAATTTCCGCAGGCTATGTTCTGCATACTTCTCCCCCTCACCAAAATTCTCGAGCACACCTGCAGCTCTGTTTTGTTTGTTAACCCTGTTGACAGAGGCACCATGGTTAACAATGCTATTCTTTTATTTTTTTTACTATTAAGCCTGGTAATGACTTGGAAAGTGCAACCAAATAGCTCCATTACTGCATATGATTTATTCTCCCACCATTCGTAAAACAAAAGGCAAATGTTCATCCAGAATCTGAAAAGCTGAGAACCAACTAAAGAATGAAGCACGGATTGGAAAAGAGAAGAACACCCAAGCATGGAATAAAGTGAAACCGCTGATATAATAAACAGTGTCAATTAGCTGAAAATTTATAAAATTATGATTAGGTCTTCAAAAGAGATTGTGACACAGATAACAAAAGATACCTAATTATATAGATTTACCCTTGTACCTCAAGAGCAAAGCATTCCCCACTTCAAGAAGCTCAAAAAGATCAATGGAAACGGATGCGTACCTAACTTGGGGGTTGGTGGAGATGTTTCGCACCAGTTGCACGCCACAGATGCCAACAGCAACACCAACTGCCGCAAAGAGTGGGTACACCTGCACAGCCCAATGCAACAGCATGACATCTTATCTTACCGAAAGTTAATCTCATGCATCCAACGGTAAGAAGTTGTCAATTTTACAACATGGGCAAAACCACAAACAGGTCTTCGGCAACACTTGGTTGCCGGAGAAGGGCTCGGCAGCGTTATTACATCTGGCCTCAACCATCTGCTGAACGTGGAAGAAGCCATCGGAGCTACAGCACGCTGCGGAGAAGGTCAGAGAGGCAGCGCAAATGCAGACAAGCCAAGGCTTTTGCCCCTGCCATCTGACTCCACCGACAACCCCATTATATACTGCTATGATGAATCCAGCCCAAATTTGGTGCACCCTAAAAATGGTGAAAGGCGACATAGAGAAAGCAAAGCAAAGGGAAGGGAAGGAAGCTGGGCTGCACGCCAAGAATTCTTTCGAGACTCTTGGAAGATGGATCATTGTGGGGAAATGGATGGCAGAAAGGAGGAGAAAAGCTCTACCACGATCGACCCAAAGAGGAAAAAATAATGAATAGCAGCAATAGGAAAAGTTCGATACATGTTTCTTTGTGTAAAACAAAAAAAAACAAAAAAAAATTGATGATATGATACCACCAAGCCAGTAGTGCGTGATCATGAAAGACTCGGTGAGATCACTAGTGCTGTTCGAGTACGGAGGGCCTTCCTTTCACTCCAATGACAGCACTATGGTGTTGCAGCTTCCTTTGAACAAGCAACCCTCCCAAAAGGAGCCTTCCAACGAAATCTATCTATGCAAAAAAATAAATTAAAAATATATAAAAAATCAGAGTTCAAAAATAAATATGAGCCTCGATAAGATTGACCTTTACTATACATGGGATTAAGATTGCAATCAAAATTCAAAAATAGAACTTGTTTATTCTTTTTATATTATCAACCATATAGGAGGTATTATTCAAAAATATGAGCTCGATACTACTCAAACTTTATAACCATTTTGATTCGAGCTAAATGAAAGTAAGTTGAACCCTTGAAGTATATATTATAACATGCATACAATAAGGTGAGCGTTAGGTAATGTTAGTTGACTAATATAAGATAATACTATAAATTTGGTACCATCTAAGCAAGCAAGATTTTTTATACCTAGAAGACTTTAAAAAAGAAAGGGTAGAGTGGAAACAGAAGCTCGCCTACAGTACATTCATATAAGTATAGTAGTTATGATTCAATATTATGGTCAATCACCAAGCTATAAGAACCCTTGAAGTATACCTTATAACATACATGCAATAAGATTAGCATTGAGTAATGTCATTTGAGCAATACAAGATAACACTATAAATTTGGTGCCATCTAAGCAAGTAAGATTTTCTATACTTAGAAGACTTCAACAAAGAAAGGGTAGAGCGGAAACCGAAGCTTGCCTCTAGTGCGTTCATATAAGTATAGTAGTTATGATTCAATATTATGGTCAATCACCAAGCTATAAGTTCAAACTATAGTGGAATGAAATACTCATGCCAAACATAGTTCATGTCTTATACGAGTAAGACTCAAAAGAATTAGGTGTAGATTATTGGGCTCCACTGTCCGAAGAAATCATTTCAAAGAGGATAGCATCCCTCGTCATAATAACTCTGATCTCTTTAGAGGAGGAAGTGAGGCTAGCAAAAACTAAGACAAGGGTGAAAAATCGATGATTGACACAAAGTCAAGAAGATAACAAAAAAAAAAAACAACTTAGACCTTTCAAGGGAGAGGGGGGCAGGGAGTGCTCACTTATATAGAGGTCAAGTGACCTTGAGTTGAGTTCCGATGCTAGTCCCTTTGTTCATCTTATAATTCAACTAAGGTAACGATGTATCAATTATATATTGGTTATTGAAAATCGATCAATAAGATCACTATTGAATATCAATGTGGAGCTCTCTTATTAATCTATAAAAAAAATTAACTATTAAGTAATGATCATAAATCGTTAGAAACTAAATCAAATCAGATCAAACACGATAACCAAGGGAACCAATGATGGTTACACCTAAAAAGGATGAAAATAGTTATGACAGGTCACACAAATAAATTTGAACCACCATGACGCCCATTATGCAAGCTAAATAGAACCCAAAGTGATAAAAGACCAACTAACACATGTGGCTCACATGCTGATGAGACATGTACAACCCCACTAGCATGCAATCGAACTTACGTGAGGCATCATTAATGATGATGTGATAGAACCTAACCATGAAGCATCATTCGACGATAATATGATTGATTTCATCCATAAACTATCTTTTGATCACGATGTAGTCGAACTCAATGCATAAAATATCATTCGATGATGATGTAGTCAAACTTGACCATGATGTATTATTCGACATGACAACGTAATCAAATCTAATCATGAAGTATTCCTCAACCATAATATGATCGAATATAAACCATAAAATGTCATTCAATGATGATATAGTTAAATTTGACTATAAAATATTCTTCCACTATGTGTGATCGAACCCGATCATCAAGATCGTGTGATGATAATATGATCGAACTTGATCATGAAATATCTTTTGATGATAACATGATCAAATCATGTCTCTCGATCATAATATAATTAAATTAAATTATAAAATAATATTCAATGATAACACAATCGAATATGTATGTACAGTGATCTGCACCCACATACTTAGTTATTAATATATATATATATATTTTCTTTTCATTCAAAAATATAAGTAAATCATTTAAGGGATTGTGATAACCAGAGAGTCTTAGACCTCAGATTGAATAGAAGTGGAGTTGGAAGTAGCTTTTTATCTGATAAGGTCTGACAATGTTATAATCTTTTTAAGTTGGAGAAAGAAAAAGATGACAGGGCCAGCCACCTGCTTATCGCCGGAGCCGAGTGCTGTCTCGGCCCGGTTTGACTGTAGTGGAGGTCAAAAAGGCTTCTTAAGATAATTTGTGTTGGCGGGCTGCCGGTAGAAAAGTCAAACCAAGCAAATAGTGCGCGCATGCTTCGGTCTCCATCTTTGACTAATTCTCCGTTAGCCGCACTTTCCACGGTCTTCCCTTCCTATGGTGAAACCCTCCATGGAAATAGGAATGAACAGCGTCTCTTTCAAGTTTTATCTGAATTTAATTATATATCTAAATCCCCAAATCAGTTTGAAACCCGACTCCAATACTTACTATCTTTTTTTATCGGTGTGTATCCTCGTATCTTATCAACAAATATCTTAGATCTGACACTAATTGATTGAACTGATGTTGGATTCTATATTTTCTAAAAAGTTCAAAAAATTAAATTATGCCGATCTGATTTCAAAATATGTACGAATATTCTGGTCAAACTTATGTTATGATGGGATTCATACATCACTCATCATCATCGATTCTATGGATGTTTCAGTTGCCATTACAATGCACCATCTTTATGACTTCCCTTCGAGTAAATGATCCAAACTACGACGTGTGTCCACCATACCAGCCAATGTTATCATCCGGTCTACATCTATCTACCTATTTTATCACCATCTGTCCACATTGTTTCCGTCACTCCTCTCTTCCCCTCTCATCTTTCACATCTTTATCCAATAGCTTCGATGTGAAACTGCATTCAGCTGATGCATTAAGTAGCAATATCGGTCTAATTTTTCAGAAGAAGAAGAAGAAGACGAGAAAAGCTTGTCATTGGCTGGTGTTATGATATATGGCAAGAGAATTTGACGGTCTTCTCTGGCAAGTCAACGGAACCTCTCTCTCCCGCTCCTCTTCTCTTTTTATATAGCGTAAGTAGTCTCCGCCTCTACTCTCAGGCATCCCATTCCCACACTCTCTGCAATCTTTTGTCTTCCTCTGCGGTGCTAGTCTAGTTCAGCAAGGTGACCATGGGAACACAAGCTCCTTCACCCCCCGAGGCCTACCACAGCAGCAGCAACAAGGCATGTACAATCGATCTCACTCTCCTGATTCTTTCTTTTCTTCTTCTTTTGATCGAGCATGAATCCTTGCTCCCTGCTTCTTCATCTTTCAGTATGACGGAACATAAATTATGAACTGCCACAAGCCTATGTTTATGGTCTTACCTCTCTTTTTTTTCCTTCTCTGTTTTCCCGTTAATTCTTATTATCTTTCCATTTTTCCAACTCTTCACTATGCACGTACGCATGAGTGGTTACATGTTTTCAGGACTCGAACAGCAGTTTTTTCCTTGCAAACTTTGAATCGCTTAAAACCAAAGTAGTAAATGAGTTCGACCAATCTTACTCTTGTGATATAAAAAGGTAAATAAAAGTCGCTGTTATCATCACATCTAAAGCTTAAAAGTCATTATATGAGACATGATCTGTTCGTTTGTCTATTCGATAAGAAAGATGCCTTGATGATTCTTCAAGTAGTAGAGAAGTTGCAGGGTTTTAATATAGGAAAAAAAGAAAAGTTTGAACACAACGGTAACTGACATAGAGAACTAAGGTCAAGTGTCTCTCGGGTGATGGTCTCTCTGATCCATCGATGGCGAGTTTCGTGAGGACTGCACACATAAAATTATCCAGAGAAAACTTGCATCACAAATATTAATTTCTATTTTTTTGGTGCAACTCATGTGATCCTTGAATCCGGACAAATCCAGAGTCGTATGATCAAAATCGCCTAGAAAGCAGTGAATTATTTTATCAGTTGTTCAACACTTCCAGTGAATTATTTTATCCCAGATGACCCTGCAAATCATATTCCGGCCACGAGTACCAATTAGTTCTGAAACGTGTGGAGGCCGAGAAATTCGAGTCGTTCTTCGTCTCATCCCTAAGTTTGAGATATAGCTTGTTGTTCATAGTGTAGCCAGAGTCCAGGAGATCGTTGCTCTGATTACAGTCACCGGAAAAGGTAGACTTGCAAGCACATCATGTAGGAAGCCTCATTTGTGCAGAAGCATTAACTGTTCATTAAGATATCATGTGGTAGGCATCAAAAGAAGGGTTTCCTTTTATTTCTTTCTCGAGATGATTGTGTGGAATTGCGACTCTCAAGACATATCACCAAACAAAGAACGTGTCTTCGTTCCTCTGCATGGCTAGAGAGCCAATCTTTGCCGGAATCACTTTGAGACTCTGCTCCGACGTACTGTCTCTTGGTTGTTAGTCGAAATGTTTCTTGTGATCCGTCTCCGCAGTTGGTTTCTCTACTTGGGCCTAATCGGTGACGGATTGTGCAGACTGAGAAGGAGAAATCGATCGATGACTGGCTCCCCATCACGTCGTCTAGGAATGCCAAGTGGTGGTACTCAGCCTTCCACAATGTCACGGCCATGGTTGGAGCTGGCGTCCTTAGCTTACCCTACGCCATGTCTGAACTTGGATGGTAAGAAACAGCAAAGATGTGACCGATTTAACTTTGCTCTCGAGACGTATTGCAACCGTGCAAACGAAAGAAACGCTTCGCTCCTGTTTGCTTCAATCAGTATATATGTATATATAAGGAAGGAGAAGTAAGATGACGCCACTTGTTGCCTTGCTATCGTAACAGGGGTCCCGGCATCGCGGTGCTGATCCTGTCGTGGATCATCACTCTGTACACCCTCTGGCAAATGGTGGAGATGCACGAAATGGTTCCCGGCAAGCGCTTCGATCGGTACCACGAGCTCGGGCAGCACGCCTTCGGCGACAAGCTCGGCCTCTGGATCGTGGTGCCCCAGCAGCTGGTCGTCGAGGTCGGGGTCAACATCGTCTACATGGTGACCGGCGGCAAGTCCCTCAAGAAGTTCCACGACGTCGTCTGCCCCGACTGCAAATCCATCAAGCTCACCTACTTCATCATGATCTTCGCCTCCGTCCACTTGGTCCTCTCTCAGCTCCCCAACTTCAATTCCATCTCAGGAGTCTCCCTGGCCGCAGCCGTCATGTCCCTCAGGTGCTTGCTCCGTCGGCATGCTTGGATCTCCCAATATAATCACGCTTGCTGTTTCGGCTGATCCTTTCTCCTCCTTCCCAGCTACTCCACCATTGCCTGGGGAGCCTCGGTGGACAAGGGGAAGCAGGCGAAAGTGGAGTACGGCTACAAAGCTCGGAGCACGGCGGGAACCGTCCTCAACTTCTTCAGCGCGTTGGGGGACGTGGCCTTCGCGTACGCCGGGCACAACGTGGTGCTGGAGATCCAAGCGACCATCCCGTCCACCCCCGAGAAGCCGTCCAAGAAGCCCATGTGGAAGGGCGTCATCGTCGCGTACATCGGCGTGGCGCTCTGCTACATCCCGGTTGCCCTGGTCGGCTACTGGGCCTTCGGCAATGGCGTCGACGACAACATCCTCATCACCCTGGAGAAGCCGCGGTGGCTGATCGCCATGGCCAACATGATGGTCGTGGTTCACGTCATCGGGAGCTACCAGGTAAGGAACTTGCGATCCATATGTGGAATTCGCTTCCGCTTTCTGAAACACGTTTGTATCGACGTCGTTCCGATCATCCGCGCGCAGATCTACGCCATGCCGGTCTTCGACATGATAGAAACGGTGCTCGTCAAGAAACTTCATTTCCCACCGGGTCTAACTCTTCGTCTGATTGCACGCACGGTTTACGTCGGTAACGTGGTGTCTCGAACCATTGTTCTATCTATCTTCACCTCCTCGTCGTACCAAAGAAACATATATATATATATACATATATAATTCCATCCTGCATGCAGCATTCACCATGTTCGTCGCCATAACATTCCCCTTCTTCGGAGGACTACTCGGATTCTTCGGAGGTTTCGCTTTCGCCCCAACCACGTACTTCGTGAGCATCGACTTCCCTTTGGCATTTGCAGCGTTACGTCTTACGGCAATCATTGTTCGTAGCTGACAATAAATACTTGTGCTCTGAATTATTTTCACAGCTTCCTTGCATCATGTGGCTGGCTATCTACAAGCCCAGAAGGTTCAGCTTATCTTGGACGACTAACTGGGTAAAATATTCACAGAAGGTTCTTTATTTTTGTTTTTTGTTTTTGTTTTCCTTCCTTTAGAAAAAAAAAAAGTCATAATCTCTTCGTTTCTGCAGATCTGCATCCTACTCGGGGTCATGTTGATGATTTTGTCGTCCATTGGTGGACTAAGGCAGATCGTTCTTCAAGCAAAGACCTACCGGTTCTACTCGTAGGATGTATGTTTTAAAAATGGATGCACGACTATAATGAGTTTAAATGTGTAATGACATTAAAAATAGTTTATATAAAATTGAGCTAAATTATATATATATTATATATATAATTAATCGCTTATGGTGTCAAACATTATGATCGTCCCTTCGGTTGATTTGTCGAGATTATTGTCTTTACAAATAATCTATTGGTTGAGTTTCATTGCCTTTGTTCGATCATCGATACATGCTTGAGCTTACATTAGTTTGGGGTTATGTTCCATCTAACTTTATCTAAGATCCATTCTCCTGTGCTTTAGGCTTGCTCCGCAACTACCATTGATATTTGAATTACTAGTATTTGTCTTATAGTCATTGCTAAAATTTAAAATATTATTGTGTCGCGACCATCATTCCATAATAGGATTGATGGCTTCTAGTGTTGAACGTTTCAATGTATAACAATAATGAGTGTAAAAACATAATGATATAAAAAATTAATATATAATTCAATCAAATTATAAAATTTTAATCACTTCTAATGTCGAATGTTCTGATCGTCCCTTCGGATGATATGTAAAATAGGAGATCGTTGTTTTTAAAGACTATCTCTTAGTTCTATTTTATTGTCTTTGTTCAATCGTTGATGTATATGCTTGAGCTTCCATTAATATGGGGGTTATGTTCGATTTAGTTTCATCCATCTCTCATATGTTAGGCTTACTCCATAGCTATCATTGACACTTGAGTTACTAGTATTTATCTTACGGTCTACACTAAGACTAAAAATATTGTTATGTTGTGGCCATCATTCTATAATAGGAAACTCTATACGTATACCAAGTTCAAAAATTACACTTGAAGCTTGAATTTGGAGCCTAATGATCCCCTTGATCTTTTTTCTTTGTAATAATATTTTTTATCCCTTCAAAATTTTATTGCACCCACTTCATTCATATACAAGTTTCGAAGGTACTATGTTCTCGACTATAGTTAGCACTACTATAATGGTTATATAAGTTAATGATCAATTTTTAATTTCCCTAATTTTATCACCAATATCAATATTTACTCCTAAACTTTTATAATAATTAGTTAGATAATCACTTAAGTCATCTAATTTAGTACGAGGATAAAAAATACAAGCAACTAAATAAACCGATAAAATTTAAAAAAATAATTTGTCTATTTTGATTTCATAGCCGTATTTAAATCATTATCATATTGAGATTGCTCTAAGGCACCAATAATACTAATACAAATAACTTAAAAAAAAAAGGGTATTGGGATAATAAACACCCGAGAAACCAACTTGCTTAACATTAGTTGTAATAAAATATATAATAATTTTTAATATTCAAAATAATCTTTAAGCAATTCGTAGAAGATTTCTATGACATAGAAACATGAAAATCTTTTCGGTCTCTTATCATTTAATTTATAAAATCTAGCCTGTTCTTTTATTAATCGTGGATGACCTAACAAGAATGAAATAGCTTACTTAATGGGAGAAAATTTTTTCAAAAGATCTAAGACCATTTTTATACATAAATTCAAAACATGACAAGCACATCTAATATGAAAAAGGACACCACTAAAAGCAGGTTGGCATATTACTTATAATTATGAGATAAAAGCAATATTTATTGTCGCATTATCAAAACCAATAGAAAAAATTTTAAAAACCAAATAATATTCTTCTAAAATTTATTTTTGTCATTATACAAATATGTCATTCATTAAAAACTCTAAAATTAATAATTCATTTTTGCATGGTGCAATCACTGTCAATTCAACGACGAGTGATTCTTATGTCAAATTATATTTGCTAGTGATCACTCCAAATATCAACACAACTAAGAAATATGATCATCTAAATTTTTTTAATTTTTTTTTTTATTTTTTATAAAGATCATGTAAAGTGTGAGTAATAGTAGTTTGAGGAACTCATGATTTAAAGCATCTTGATAATAATCAATAAACTAACTTTTTCATTGAAAATAAAAGATAAATATTTAACAGAAATTAATCTAGCTAATGTTTCATGATATCTTTCAACATAAAATAAAAATAAAAATAGAATTAGTAGAGTGCTCAAAATTTTAAATTTGACTTTTCTCAATTTCTTAAACCTAAAAATCGGAATCCAGTAGTTGATGGGTTTAATTCATGATTTTATATCTCGAGTTGGCTTATAGCTTTTCAGGATGGTATCTCAAGTGTATCCATCAAGAATTTCTCTCTTCAAGTAAGTTTCTTAGTGAAGTGAACATAACTTCTCTTGCACCTATTAATAAGAATAATTTATAATCATTTACCACTGTGTATTTGCAAAGTCTTACATTTGAAAGAAAATTTCAATAATGATCTTATAGATTCCGATCAATGGGGCTTTCTTCCTAAAGGATGGATTGATTCATAAAAGCATTGTTCTCTTTCGTGAAATAATGCACAAGGGGATTCTCACACATGTGCATTAAGATTGATTTGATGATTCTTTCAGACGATCGCGTGGAGGAGCGAGCATCAGGGCGGACTGCACCAAAAGCTTTCACCTCGGACCTCACTTTTACCATCAACCGGAATGGAACGCTTATCTAAAGGAACAAGAGGAGGACTACGACAAGACCGCCTTGTGGATTCGTACCTATTTTGCATTAGCATGCATGCATGCAACATGCTTCCTCTCAACAAGGAGGAGAACTCATGCCGCATTATCATTATCATCCTTCTTCCTCTCTTTAGTATGTCCACAGCTGAATTTTCTTCTGTTGGTGGAATCCAACAAATCCTACTGCAGCGGTGACTCGGAAGTAAGTGGTGATTCATCCGAGTCACAGTAATTGGATTCACCACGGAATTGACGTCGAGGCACACCCATGGACCCCAAACCTAAACTCGGGTGACCAACTCCAAGTGGTGGACCGGTGGTTGCCCCGTGACATCCATTCAAATCTACAAAATTTGGATCATTGGGGCGATGTCAAAGATCAAGATGCGTAGGGAATCCTCGGCGTTTGACCTGCCAACCGAGGATGGGTTGGAATGTTGTGAGCCTCCCTGTGAATTCAATCCATGGGCGAGGAGGATATCTAGATGCCATCTCGAACTACTAGATTTGATGTTGACCTTTTCCAGACTCGGGTGGTGGTGGTGAGCAGTAATAGATCTATGATAGATCGTTTTCTTTTCTTTTATTCTTGGAAATTAAAATGTTGACTTAGGGTGAGGACTCGAATCAGATCCCTGATGAGATGTGGTGCGTGACATCGGGGGAGGTTTCTACATCAACTATTGTTGCACAGTCTGGAAGAAGGGTACTTTTTGCTGCCTTTTTTTTATTTTGCCCTCCATATATTATTTATTATTTTGACATCCATAATAATTATACATGACCGATTTAATTAATATATTATTGTAAACCATAGAGGTTGGTTGGTTTTACCCACAGGTGACTTAAATTGATAGTAATCATTATGATCACCGAGAGCTTAGTTAACCTCCTGCCTGACTCGATCATAATTGCCGGTAATTCCAAGGAGAGATGGATCGATCGAGATAAGCTCCGCCAAACATTCTTGGTTTTATCGCTACACTAGGCTTATCCGAATAGCATGTAACGATTGTCGGATGTAACATTAATGAAAATGATTAATTGCATCCATCCGAAGCGGAATTAAATCTCCCCTATCAGCATAATTCATGAAATTTCTAATCATTGCTTGTTAGCCTTATGACTCTCTCTCTCTCTCTCTCTCTCTCTCTCTCACACACATTCATGCACCTATTATATCCATCCATCTCAGATTTGATTATGGTGGCTCATATAGATATGGGTATCCCAAAAAATGTGCGCTCTATCCTCTTAATTTCTCTGGTTATCTATTCATGTCTCTGTGTGTTTCTGATCGATCCATTTAAGATGGACACGCACATCTGTTGATGGAACAGTTTGGTAATGTGTCACGTACACGTGCATTTGTCTACGATGAGTGATCGAATGACAACTGTTGGAGCCAATCAATGTAGCTTTTGCGCTGATCTCTAATCCAATCACCCCGCCAGACTTCTTCGTTAGGTCACACGTCCATTCTAAGAGGTATGTGAAATGATAACCACCTTGGACCACACTCCATTGCACTTCCTCTCTCTCCACTAATCACATCAAACTTCTCACCGATTACTTGGCCATCTTCTTCTCGCTAATTACACCCTCTCCTCTCTCTCTCTCTCTCTCTCTCTCTCTTTTTCATCAGAATTCCCATTAGTCACTTCTCAATCTTGTCTGTTTAACGTACGAGAGTCAAATTTCGTCGATCGATGGATGTTGTCGTATATCTACCTTAGTTTTGTACCACTTCCGTCATAGGAATAGTGTATGGAACAAGCGGGGGGTCATCTAAATTGCAAAACCTAAATTCAGGCCACACTCGATGAGGATTCTTCATTGCTCAAGTTAAATACATGAAATTATAGCTTGTTTGGAGGTTTTTTTTAACGTAAGAGCTCTTTTTTTTCTATATATATAATCATGAGATATATAACTCCTCACATTTAGTTACTAGTTTTTTCATATTATTTGTATAGTTTCGCCAAGACTTTGGATATTATTTGAAGAGTTGCAGGGAGTTATTGTCGACCCAGACGTCCGATTTTGGAATTGGATTAATAGTACGGATGACAATCATACGTCCATTATTTCCTCCATATTCTTTTATCTTTTTAATTCTATCATTAACGGGAATAATCTAATACATGGATGGAGAAGCCGACTAGTCCCAAGACTTAATTAAGCAACCTTTAACTCCTTAATGCGAGGCGTATGTTTCCTCCGTCGCCTCTCCCCATCAGATTTAAGATGCTGATTGATTCGTGATTCGACGAGGATGTAGGGTGTACCACCTAAGATGTAGATCATGGTTTAGTTGTCGACTAAGCCATGTGATTTGCGATTGCCATCTTCGTCTCTTTGTCGACGTTGGGTTGCGATCGTCCTGTCCATGGCACCTACGTAGATCTTTAGACAAGAATCGTGATCATCAAATCCACGCTCGGATGGGCAAGTGAAAGTGATCACATTCTCATGCTAATACATATGTATGTTGTAGGTGATCATTAGGAAGCGACACACGGGTGCATGGTTGCAAGAGCTTCCGTAAGTGACGGGGAATTGCTTATGTGCTTTCGTCGATCCTTGGCGTTCTATTCCTTCTCGACGACTACAATGACACGTGTCAACGTTGTTCCTTCTTCCTCTGGGCCCTTGATTCACCATGTCGAAGGGTGTTCATTCTCACGTTAACCGTCTCCGGCAAACTGGCGTCTTGTAAGGTCTGTTCCTCTAACGCGTAGATTATGTATCATTTTTGTATTCCATGTTGCCGTGCATGGCTGACCTTTGTAACTCAGGTAGAGGTCAAGTCGGGAGAGTGTAAAACAGACGAGCGAGCCAACTCGTGCAACGCAGGTTTCCACTGATGAGGACCATCGAAGAGACGTTAATCGGAAACGATAAAACTCTGCACCAAGTTTAAGACATCATTTTTGGACCAGACGTGTAGTGCCTTTCCGAGACAGCTTCGTTCAGCTCTTATTCACATCAGTCGCATTTTTCCGAGGCAGCAGATCTCAATGAGGAACTGACTAGAAACAAATTGAAGTCGACTCTTCATGTGTACTGTTCTCGGGTTCTCTCTTACCGACAGTTCACACACCCAACGAGTCCTATCCATGGCAAATGGCATCTAAATGCCACGTCGGTGGCATACAAACCATGCGAACCTAAGAGAAAAAACTTGTAGCATATAACCGATACGATTTATTTATAAGGCACTTAATCTCACATGTACTTTTGAATTAAATTGATCCGAATAAGGTTTGTTCGTCTTTTAATGTTGGTCAATGAATTATCCTTGTTATGCGAAGGAAGAGCCTATTCAGGCGGCAGATACGGTTTACTTGTGTTAATTATGTCACATGATACGCGTAGAAAAGTATATGCACCACAGTCAGTCCCTTCTTATTCTGACATGCAGGTTTGTGTGCATACTTCTACGACGGAGGCAAGAAATCTACTGATCAAACGAGCCTTCTCCTTTTACAATGGAGGAATCGTAACACTTGGGAATTTTGGAGCATCGATAAACAGAATGATATTTTGTCACGCTCCTTTTCCTTTTCACTCGAGCAATAATATCGTACGAAGAACTGAATAATATGGCAAGGTGTGTTTGGATTTTATGTATTAGAACCATGGTGGTGCTCAAAAGGAGAAATATTTCTGGTGCTTTTGTTACATAAGCTCCAGCATACAACCATACAAAATGCCTTTCGTGCAGAGTACTAGCATACGTATCAATCAATCCAAGACGGGGGGCGAATGGGATTCTTGCTTATCCTCGTGAAGTGAAGAGGGTCGACATTCATGAGAAAGAGCGGTTGGCCCGCCGCGGCCTCCTCCTCCTTTTTCCTCCTGCTTGTATAATACATAACAAAGACGAGAGAAGGGTAGAAACGAAGGGACTGCAGCAGTGTCATGGAGGTGAGAACATGCTAAAAGCCAAGAAGAGAACAAGCGCCAGGAAGATAAAGGAAGGAAGCAAAGAGGGAAAAGGTTCCCATCACCATCACCTCCGCCAAGTGGGTCGTCTGATCCATGTGCAGTCATGTGGTGGTTTGCCCTCCCATGTCCCCACCGCATCATTCCAGCCTCCTCCTCCTCCTCCTCCTCCTCCCTCTCCTCCTCCTCCACCTCCACCTCCACCTCCACCTCCCTCTCCACCTCCACCTCTACCTCCACCTCCCTCCTTCCCATCCACCGCAAATCCCTTCCCTTGGCTTACTAGCTATATTGGCTGACAGATTTGTAGTGTCTCTCGTATTTATGAACTCTGTGCGATCTTTTTGTCAATCTTGCATCCATGTTTTAGGGAAACATTGCAGTGGATCTTTGCATGTTGACGCGCGTGCAGCGTTGCGTTTGCCCTCCCCTTTTTTTTGTTTCGGAGATCACAAGCAGGCCCCTCTTCTTGTGTGTCGGAAGAGCAGAAATCCCATAGAAACCGTACCTTAAAATGACCCCTTACTTCGTTATATATCCCACCACCCTATCCTGTACTCTCATCCGTTTATAACCACCACTTAACACCCTGCCATATCCCATCTCTCTCTCTCTCTCTCTCTCTCTCTCGCTCGCTCATGGAATCAAAGAGCTCCGATGAAAACTGTAACAACCCTAATTCGGAGTTACACCCATCCAAGCTCATCATGGCTTCCCACTTCCTTCGAGCCCTCTTTCGTATACAGCATACGACGACCGACTCCTCCTTCGCCGGCCGAAGCCGCAAGATAAGGCGTGCTGCTTATGCGTCGATGGCTTACTCCGTCGGGACAAAGCGAGCGTGGAGCTCTGCTTTGCTCCGTAAGCTCCGCAGCCGCTCTCGGCTCCGGTTTCCCAATCCTCGGAGAGCGAAATATGCGGCACTTCCGGGAAGGCCAAGGGTCGCGAGACCCCAGCAAAGGGAGATGGACCAAGCAGAAGCTCTTCGCGAGTTGGTGCCAGGAGGGACAAGCATGGACGACTGCAGGCTGCTCGAGGAGACAGCGGACTACATACGGTGCCTTAGCACGCAGGTAAGGCTCATGCAGGCGATCATGGAATCGGTCTCTTTTTAGGCTCAGACGAAAACTCGAGCCAGAGAGATACAAGACATATGAAAAGGGAAGTATATAGTCTGGTGGGTAAGTATAGCTCTATCCACATCTACTTGCTATTGTAAATTAGACCGACTTATGGTTGTCTGATATATATAGCATCTGATCACGAAGCTTAAAACTCGTACGTAAATGTTTCCTTTCCAATTAAATGAAACTTGATGAGATAAATTGCATATCGCGTCGTACGTAGAGAGATCAAATAGCTACCTCTCTTTGTCCCGGACCGGGGTGCTCGCTTACTTGTTATGATGGATCAGCTACTATATCTACGTCTTTCTGACGGATATTAGCGAGTGTTGCAGGTCGATCGGAAGATGAGCGGAAGAAGGGGAAATGTTTCGCCTTGGTGGGTCCCCGGATGCAATTGTCTTGAGAGAAGGTAGCTGATGGGTCCACCATCGCGGCCAGAAATTAATGGTTGCTTCACGTTCTCAAAGGAATGGTTTCCCTGCTAACGTTCTCGCGATCTTTAAACCCACGATCGGAATTCCTTGCTTCTTTTTTTAGTGGTTTTAATTGTGATGTCAATCCTATTAATGCTAGGCGTTGATTCTCCGGTGGGTGGTGTCATTTAAGCTCGTCTTTACTGCTTCCTTCTTTTCTAAACATGCATAGGGTGAGTGTCACGCATACCCAGGACACCTATTTCTTATATGTTTTGAACATCCTTTTTGAAGTTGTTGTCTTCATCACCGAGAATCCGGCATGGAGTCCCATCAAGCTATCCTATCTTGTCGTGCCCTCCGAATCTAAGCCATTTGAGAGGCCGCCTCTTTGTGGCTACCATAATCTAATCATGAAACTGAAAGCCGAAGTTGAGCGAGATAGGGAATCTTAATTGGTTCGGTGGGTTGGAAATTAGCCGCCGAGTTGAGTTATTCTGCACTGATTAAGTTTGTTCCAAGTCAAATTGAATAAAAATATATGTATAGTCATAAGTTATTTGAAAGATAATGCTATTGAGTTTCTCCTTGAAATGATAATGGATGCCATGCAGTAATAATTTAGCTTGCGTACCGTACCGTACCGTACCTTTGGCTGTTGTCCAAATTCTAATTTTCCTTATTAAGCATGCATTTTAGGCTCTAGAAATTCTAGTTATTAATTTTCA